GTCGCCAACATCCGGCCGTCGGGCGAAAAGGCCATCTGCCGGACCGCCTCGAGGCGCTTTTGCGGGCGGAAGGTCTTGCGCTCCTCCAACGTGGCGGCGTCGAGGACCTTCACCGTGCCGTTCGTGCAGCCCAGCGCCAACACCCCCCCGGCCGGGTCGAAGGCGACGGACTGCAGGTGTAAATTGCGAAAGATCGACAACACCACCACGCGCTTTTGTTGGTAATCCCACAGGTGTAGGGTCCCGCCGAGGCCGGCGATCGCCAGCCAGGGCCGCGAGGGGTGCGCGGCGATCCCCTGAATCGCCAACTCCTGGCCCTGGACGAGGAGTTTCCCGCGAAGGAGCTCGGGGTTGCCGGTGTGGAAGGCCTTCGCGGGGACGTCGAGGATCATCGCGTTGCTCGTGGAGACGATGAAGTCCGGCGCGGTGAACCGCGCCGAGGCGAGGACGCTGCGCTGGGAAAGGTGCTGCGCGGCGCAGCGCCGGTTCTCCTCCGCCGCCGCCGCGTACGACGCGAAGGACCCGGCCGCGTGGTCGAGGCTGATAGAAATGATCGGCCCCCCGTTCAGCCCTTCAAACCACGCCACAAGACATAATTTGTGGTCCAGAAACCGCACATGCCCGTCCATGCCGCCTGTGATGAGGTAGCCGGCCTCGGCCGTCAGGCACGTCACCCCGCCGTTGTGCACGCGGACGCGCTTCAGGAGGGTTTTGTCGATCTCCGCCTGGACGCGGTCCCCTGGCAGGAGCTCCCAGAGGGCGACCTCGCCGTCGACGGTCCCACTGCAGGCCATACTCGTCCCCGGAATCAACGCCGTCTGCGTCAGCTGCCCGATCGTCGCCCCTTTCCAATCCCCCGGGATGATCGGGGGGGAGTAGTACTCCAAATGGCCGGCCGCCCATTTCCAAAAAAGCACCCGCCGCGGGCCGCTCGTGCAGAGCAGGTGGGGGTTGTCAGGGGCGAAGCGAATGCAGCTCTGCTCGTCCTGGGCCGGGATCCGGCGGACGTACTCCGGGGCGTCGTCCGAAGGGGCGATCGGGTCGGCGTCGGGGCCGCTTGGCGCCCGGCAGGCCGTCCAGCCCCAGATCAACACCTCCTGCGGGGTGCGGTGGTTGAGTCCGGCGATGTAGAGCCCGCACGGGGACATCGCGCAGCTCACGACGCCGCCGTATTTGCCGACGGGGATGGTCCGCACCGGCAGGCCCGTCGTCGTATCCCACACAATCATCCATGAGTGGTCGTCGGCCTCGTCGGAGCGGGCCTCGCGAGGGTCGCGCCGCATCGCCGCCTCCTGCTCGGCCATCGAGGCCGTGTAGTCCTCCTCTTGGGCGAGAAACCGCACCGAAGGGGTCTTCTCCGCCCCGCTTTCTCGGCCCCGGCGGGATCCGGCGCTGCCGGCGCCGTTTTCCCCCGCGCTTTGGGCGAGCCCGGGCGGGGGAGGAGGCGGGGGCGGGCGGCCTTCATCAACAGTGACGATAAATCGCCGGTTGTGGCTCGCGCAGGAGGCGATAATGGGGTGGGCGTGGCCCTGAAGAATCCGCTGGGTGTTGTGCGTGGCGTCGTAAATCACCCCGACCTGCCCCACCGCGTAGAAGACCTTGCGGTGGAGAAAGGCCCGGGAGGGCGAGGGGTCCTCCGCGGGTCCCGCGTGGGGTAGGGGGCCGCTGAGGTTGTGAATGCAGGCCTTAAAGTCGTTGTTGAGGCCAAACACCCATTCCAGGCTCAGGCTCTTTTCGGACTCCCACGGCGTCGTCGGGGGACGCGGGAAAAGAGGGGTGGTGGAGCTGCCGCCCATCGAAATGCCCCGTTTGCCGAGCCGGGGAGGGGGAGGGGGGCCGCCGCCGGCGCTGCTGGTCTCATCGCTGCCGCGCTTCGGCACCCCGAGCGTGGCGTCCATCGCCGCCGAAAGCGACGCCGCGGAGTCCTCACGGTTCGACAAAGACATCGGTGGGACTCGGCTTTTTCTCTATGGGGTTGGGTTCGGAAGGATTCCTAATATGTATGTGTGTTCGCGATAGATATCGACTTGTGCGCGCTTGTTGGGTTAGGACTGCCGCGCGAGAAGCTCCAGGAACTCTCACACGAAGGGAAGGGGAGGATTTTAGGACAAAAGGGTGGGGAAAATACATGAGGGCATGACACGTCAGATCGTACACAACCCATCCAAAGGAAAACAACCAAAAAGGTAATCCTCACGAATATTAGTAAGATTCAATTGAGATATCTATCTATATACATATACATATATATATAGATAGATAAATAGATTTATGTGCAAACTATTTATGGCTTATTTTTCTTTAAAGGTAGTGAAAAATAAGCCAATTTATTTGTCCTCCCATTGATTTACTTTTTATAAAATTTAATGCGCTTTAAGAATATCACTATTTGGTTAGCCTTGAATAGAACAATCAATGAGGTCTTCCGGTTCAAAATCCCATTCGTCCCTCATCAATATCCATTCCACTCCACTACCATAGTCCTTCTATTATACTCCTGCCATGTACAAACTCCCCAATGTCTCATCTTCGCTTCTTTAATGAACTCACGACGAGCTCACATCCTATTCAGCCAATTTCCAAAGCTTGGGAAGACGAAATCACCCTAGTGAAGCCAGGACGACGAGCCACAAGAGCGAAGGGCTCTCTTTATCCGCTACGCGGCGAGACATCTACCCCCCATCCGACTACTTCACCTTACCCACCTCAATTCATCCCATGTGTGGCTCACCCAGACGGCATCCCTGCGTTTCCCAATCGTGAATCCCCCATCGCCCTCTCCTTCAGAGCCATTTTTACAGGTAATTCCGAGGGCCCGAGTTCACATACCCCCCCCCTTGTCGATTCCCGTCCTGGTATTGATGGGCGAGGGAGGCGATCTGGGAGATTTCTTTTCTTAGCAGCATCACCATGCACTTAATCATCAGCGCGTCCTTAAACCGCTGCGTGTTGACGTCCTCTCGGGCGGAGGCGTGGTGGTGGGTCTCGAGATCCTCGTTTTTGATGGCGTGGATGCGGTCGAGCTGGTCAAGAAGGCGGCGGCTGGCGGGGGTTCCCGCCGCGGTGTGGGCCACACGGATCGCCTCCTCGAGCTTCCCCTGGACGGCCCGAAGCCCCTCCCCACCCCCGCGGACGTGGTCGAGGTTCAACAACGCGGGCTTCGGGGGGGTCGAATCCCCACCGGACAGAAGGCCCTGCAGGTGGCCAAGGACGACGTCGCTCGCGGCATGGCCCTGCGAGGTCAGCCGCACGCGCAGGGGGAGGACGCGCAGGCAGACGGTGTGCAGCCGCGCCTTGTCCTGCTCGTCGGGGACGAGTTGATTCCGCGTGATGTGCGCGCTCCAGCGGAGGCTCAGCCCCGAGCCCGGCTTTGTATTTTCGTTGGAATTCGGACTCCCAGTTTCATCAGCCCCATCAACGGAAGGGAGGGCGCAGTGGAGGTAGAGGGCCTGGCGGGGGACGCGGCGGGCGAAGGCGGCCGCCGGGGCTTCGCACCACAGCCGCATTTGCTCCTCCCCGGTCTCCCGCGGGCGGCTCCCCGCGGCGTACCAGCCGATCAGGCGGGCCCCAACAAAGGCCTGCTTCGCCCGCACCCGGCGATCGAGCTCGGCGGTGTAGATTTTCGAACTAACGTCCGCGTAGGGCGGGGCGTTCGTCATCGGGATGAAATCCCCGACGTGGATGTTGTCGACGTTGCGGACGCCGAGGAGGTAACCGGAGGCGACGCCGCGGCGCTTGGCGTGCTCGACAATCGCCGCCGCGACGTAGGGCGAGACGTCCACCTCTTGAAGTTGCGTCATTCCGAAAAGGGGGGGTTTCGGTTACACCAAATCGTTACAGTAGTAACAGTAGTAACAATCGTCACAGTAGTAACAGTAATAATAGTAGTAATAACCGTAAGAATTAATAAGTCCCCAACGAGATGTAACAGTAACGCAATAGTCCCGATAATGACTTTGAGACACTGAAGAAATCCCCTGGGTTAGTCGTTTGTTTCAAAAATGAATTCTTAAAAAGAAGAAAAAGGGGAAGAGGAAGAAGAGGAAATAAGGAAGGAAGGCGTAAAGTCACAACTGACCCAAAAAACACCAGACATTTTTCTTAAAGAAATAGGAATGGGTGGGTGTGGGGAGAGCGAAGGAAAAGCAAATTCCCCCTTTCCTAAGGGGGGATGAGTTTCCTCACTTCGATGTATTTTAGCTTTTTTTTTCTTTGGGTTCAAATCACTACTAAAAGGACCACACAACTTTTCTACAATACCATTCAAATACGCAATTTGTGCAGTGGGTTTGCTTTCTTTTTTTTTGTTTTTGTTTTATTCTTCAGAATTCTTCAGTGGTCCCAGAAAACATAAAGACTCAGTGAAAGTGCCAGTGCGGCGTATACGACATCCGCCTACACACCTTTATATATCCAAAGCAAACCGCTAATGATATTTATGGAATAGTTCCGCTAAGCGGCATTCCGTTCCTTTCTTTCTTTTCACTCATGCCGAATTAATGATTCAAATGCACGTCTTTCTGATAGTAATCCTTTCCAGGGAGGGAATCACCCTGGGGTTGAACCACCAAATCCTTCGGGCCGTACGAGGCGTAGAGCTTCTCCAACTCTATAAAACTCCGCACGCGAAGTTGATCCTGTGGAGAGAGCTTCCGCACCTCCTCCAATGAGCCTCCCCAGCGCTTAATCATCGCTTTTTCGCAGAAATCATGATCTAACACGTGATCATTATGCCATCGATGAAAGAAGTACACAATCGGAATTGCAACCGCCCAGATTCGGAAGTCGCCCGGGAGTAACCACATGAGGGTTCCATTCCATGGGCGATGCCAGTAAAACTCCGTAATAGCGCGCGCCCGCAAGACGGATTGTTTGAGAAACGAATTTGGTAAAATCCGCTGGGCCTTGTAGGTGGAAAATAAAACCATGATGAAATGTACACGAATTATACTTCTTTTCTTTCTTTCCTTTTTTCGGTTTCCTGACGTTTAATAGGTGGAATGAACTAAAGGTAAAGTTACTAACCTAAAATCACACTAAAGCCATTTGAAGTAGAGAGATTCACAAATAGGGATACATAGAAGAGAAAATTATACCTTTGGGGGTTGTTTTATTTGGATTTTACTCTTCCTTTCTGGTAAAGGCTAGAAGTAATAATAAAAACTTATAATCGGTTGGGAAACCCTACCAGTCTAGATTGCTTTATCTATAATATCTCTTTAAGTATGTACCACATACCCCACACCCAAACGCACACGTCCACATTTGTAAGGTGAAAATTCAAATGATCCTTTTCCTGTGAAGGAGAAGGAAATAATTTAAAGAATAAAATAAACATTTGCCATACCCGAGTCGATAGATATGGGCGTCAGTTTTCTTCCACCCGACAGGGGAACGATAGCGTTAAATTATTTCAGGTTCCATAACGTTATGAATATGTATCTTTCTAAAAGTCTCCACCGCCTGATAAGCGTTTAATTTGGCTTCACTTATCCAGAGAGTCTGTACTCTTTTCGCAGACTATGGAGGCCCATGTGCGCACGTAATTATGTTAAGGTGATATCATCAAAGGACACGTTTTTTCATCACCATTATGAAAATGGAAGACGTAAAAAAAAAAGAGAAAATATGAAAAAAACCCCAAGAGAAGCCAATATTCTCTCGCTTTAAACTTATATATGTACATGTTGGCTTGACTTCAGACAGTTGGTAAAAAGCCTCATCTCCCAGCTTCCTTTCATTGCGGATCGATTTCCTTTTCCTTTTTATTGATCCTACTTCACGATGCGCAGCCCCGTGCGTTCCAGGTCGTACACCCCACGATACTCCTCGTAGAGGGTTTGCAGGGCGTCGATATACCGGGCGCGCCAAAAATCGATCTCCGCGTCGGTCGGATTCTCAATTTTCGGCAGCTCCACCGGATGCCCCACCACGACAATAATAGGTTTTCTCAGCGGCATAAACCCTATCCCCGGCATCGCGCCTTTCAAAAGCGGGATGGTGATCCCGGTGAGGTGTTTAACCGCACTCACGCCCCGCACCACCAGGGGGTGGTCGGCGAGTTTGGCGTGCTCGTAGACGTCGTTTTCGCCGAATCCGTAGACCGGCACCAACCCCGCGCCCTCCTGCAGGGCAATTTTCACAAACCCCTTTCGCTTTTTCAACACCAAGTCGTTCGTGCGAGGCCGGGATAGCCCGGCCTCCTCCGAGCCGCCGAGGACCAACAACACCGATTCACCCGTTCCCGCGCGCAGGGTGTGGCGAATCGCGCGCGCGCTCGCGTCCCCACAGCCCAAAAGCAGCAAAACCTGGCGAAAAAAGGGGATAAAAAAGTTAAATTTGAGCGTCTGCAGGTGAATGCGAACCCCTGGTAGGGCTTCGGAGGTGTGGTTGACGTCCAGCGCGAAGTTTAGCAGCGCGCCAAAGCTCAACACCCCGTGGGGGTGGTAAAGAAAGATGTAGTTCTTCTCCGGGTGGAAGGCCGCGCGGACCGCCTTCGGAACCACACATCGGGTCGGGAAGTAATCGCGATAGTACGCCCAGATCCCCAGACGCGCAAAGGTCATATTTCTTTTTACCGGAAACTTCGGCCGGCCTTTGGTAAAGATCCACACGATGTACATCCCCATGAGCGGCGCGGTATATCGGCAATACAGAAGCAAGCCGGCCCCCAAGAGCGAGATGGAGCCCGCCAGGAAGAAATTGCAGGTCGAAACAACCAACATCTCCATCACCAAATTCCCAAGGCGTCTCCAATGGGCCCCAAAAGTGGTCCGCCGGGGTGGAGGTTTCACCACACCTGAAGAGGAACCCTCCCCCGCGGCGTGGTGTTCTAACGCGCCGAGAAGGCGATCGGCCTTTTGTTGATTCGCCTCGTAGTCCAATTCCAGCGCGGCGGTGATTTCGCGGTGGGCGGAAGGATCGTTTGCCTCGGCCCGGGCGGTTGACGTCTCCCCGGCGGCGAAGCCCAGGGCCGCGCGGAGCTGTCGAACTTCACACGCGGCGATCGCCCCCCCGAGGGCGTGGACCCCCGCCAAAAGCTCCACCGCGGACAGCACGGCGCGGGTTTGTTTGGCCTTTTCCTCCAGGGAAGTCGGGGGGAGGGGACGGTCGGGAAGGGCATTGATCGCGTACGAAGAGCCAATTGTGCTTTCGCTTTTAATGCCACTCATCTTATTGTTGGGAAACGTATATATATATCTCAATAAATATAAATATATAAATAGATATATGTTATATAGAAAGAATCAGGACTTAATATTACTATCTTCCCCTGTAGTTGGTTAGTTAAAATGTCCTTTCCTTGATAGGTACTTTTCGCCTCCCATACAAAGAGGGAATCAATAAACTCAAGAAGAAGAAAAGAGGAAAAAAGGCCAAATCCTTAACTTCCCCATCATACTTTTCCAAAGAAGAGTTTTTTTTTGGTCAATGAAAGGAGAAAAAAAAAGAACCCCTTGAAGCGGCATATTGTCAATACCCCTATGATAAGGAATCATCCAAGAAGGAGCGGTGTAAAAGGCTAATCTCCCATTCCCATTGCTAGGGGTGGGGTGGGGGATTTACGAGCTGACGGTATTATTTTTTTTTATTTCCTGTTGGTTCAAACTCGAAAAGGAACGTCTTTTTTCCCCTCACCAATGGGGTTGAATGAGGACTTCCCATCGCATCCCATCGATTTCCTCTCCCCCGATTCTCAATAAATGCGTCCAATCAGGACCCCTCCACATCGCCATGGTTGTCGTTATCGCCATCGCCATCGCCGCCGACCTTAGACTTTTCGTCGTCGTCTTCTTCTTCGTCTTCTTCCTCGTCGTCTTGGAAGTCCTCGTCGTCGTCGTCGTTGTGGTCGGGCCGCCCCCCCGGCGCCGCCATCGCCGCCTCGGATTCCCGTCTTTGCTGGTCCGCCTCCGCGGCGTGGGCCCTTTCCCGCTCCGCCGCCTCCTCCTCGAGGACTTCGACGTACGGCGCGAGCATCGCCCGCCACCAGGCCGGCCTGGCCGCGATGTGTTCGCCGGGGTCTTTTGTTTTCGCCTCCGAGGGGGCCTCACAGCGCGCCGCGGGGTTCTCCGCCGCGATGTTTTCGCCGGGGTCTTTTGTTTTCGCCTCCGGGGGGGCGCCGCAGCGCGCCGCGAGCCTCTCCGCCGCGCGGGCGACGACGCCGCGCTGAAAGTCCCGCATCGCCTCGCCGTTCCGGCGGCGGAGGGGCTGATGAAAGTCGTGGGCCGCGCGGAGGGCCCGGACGAAGTGGTCCTCCATCGCCCGCAGGCGGCGCTCGAGCATCGGGGGCCGCTCCCGGGCCGGGTCATAGGTGGGCTCCTCGACATCGAACATCGCGGTCTCCCGGAGCGGGTCACCAACCGCGAGGCCGCGATCGCCCTCGCGCGGGGGAATCGGCAGGAGGACGCCGCTTTCCAGGGCCATGCGACTTTCCACCTGAGCCCCGGTCTTGCGGTCCCGCACCTGGACTTTCTCCAGATGGCAAAGGGCCTGGGTGGAGGGGTCGACGTGGCGGACTCGGGTGACTCGGATGGGGTGCTCGCGCTGCAGCCGCTGCTCCGGCCGGCCCTCGGCGGCCGGGATCACAACATCCCGCACGTTCACATCCTGCACGATGATCTCGTTTTTGTAGGCCACGACGGCGAGAATCACGCCGCGCTGGCCCGCGGCCTCGCCGGATACCACTTCTACGACGTCCCCGGGATACCAAAGCCAAGGCTTGAGGGCGTAATCCGGGGCGAAAAAGCGATAACGCGCGGCGAGGGACCGGCGTTGGTGCGTTTCCAAGTCGCGCGTGATCCACTGGTTGTGGTAGGTGTGGTCTTGGTAGAAATCGCGCTCGCGGGGGTGGCGAATCGCCTCGAGCATCGCCAGCCGCTCGCGATCCCGCAGGTCGACCGTCTCGTCGGTGTACAGGCCGCTCAAAAGCCCGTTCGCCACCTTCGGGCGGCGAAGGAGGTTCGGCGAGACGTTGTAGGCCTTCAGGACTTTCTCCGGACGCTTGTAGAAGCGCGAGCGGGTACGATAGCGTGCGTACATCGGAAGTCCGACCCCTGCACGTACCTAATCACCTGCGGGAATAATCGACTTTGTGTTTTTTTTCTGTTCGGTTCTTTCCCCTTCTACCGTCCAGCTCGGCACCCCACACGACATCATAGAAGAAATAAGACGGATACAAAGAGGGTATTGTGGAGATATGCCCATAGTTAACCATTTTCATTCAACCCCATCCATGTCACCTCCCCCTTTTTACCCCCATGGTGTTTACTACCCCATCAATACTATCGTTAGAATATATATAGATATATATATTTCCTCTTTGATGTCAATCGAATAATGCGATAAAAAAAAAAAGAAAAAAGGCCAACCTTCCAAACCAAACACGGCCCTGTCCTCCGTATTTCCCGCTTCTTTCTTTTTGAATCGCCCATCACGTGGCGCGCCCCCCGAAGGCGGCGGTTCCGTCCGGCCTCAGCAGGACCTTAATCTTTTCCCCGATTTGCACCTGATCGTTCACGCTGACCATCCCATCGCACTCCACCAGAGCGGCCATGCGATAGAGCCCCTTCATCGCGATTCGCTCGACCGTATAAACAAAACTGCTGGGGAGAAGGGGCTCGGTCCAGATCGCCCCGCCCTCCTCGTCGTCCGCGTGGACGTGCAGGAGGTCGACCGGCATCCCACAACAAAGAAAGTCCTGCGAAAGCGCCGGGAGGGTTTGGGCGGGGAGGTTGACCTCCCGCCCGGCCTCCGCGTGGTGCGGGGGGAAGACAAAACACCCGTCGTCGTGGTCGTCGAAGCCGCTGAACCACAGCCGGACGCGCTGGGCCTGGATTTCGCGGAAGTCGTGGCCCTGGGCCGCGCTGACCTCCTTTTTTCGCCCCCCCGCCCCGAGCTCGTGGAGTTTGAGGTTGAAGGAGGCCGCGTTTTGGCCCTTCTGCGAGCGCGTCGAGGCCACCACGCGGTAAAGCCGGGCGTCGAGCTTCAAAATCATCCCGGCACGGACCTTGTCCGCGAAGACGGCGCGCCGGGCGGGGCCTAAAACCCCGTCGGGAACCCGGGGGATTTGCCACGGCAGCCTGCGAAGCATCCGGGCGGAGTCCCCGTGCGCGTAATCCTAAGTAAAACCCCGCAAAAGGCTATATACATCCATATAAATATAGAGAGAAATATATAAATGTGGATAGTTAGTAAGAAGTCCCCAGCAGTAAACACCCCCGGGCGAGAAGTCGAAAATGGAGAGAAAAGAAGCTTAGGCGATCAAAAACACATCGATGGCGTCATTGGTTGTTGTTGTTTTTTGCGTTGGTGAAGACGGCACAGCCCCATCGAACACGAGGAGAGTCGACAAAGGAGACGCCGATAAACTAAACCGCATAACCATATATATATATCTATATAAATATGTTTTTTTTTTTCAGTTTCATGTAGTTTGTGTAATGAAAAATTTACATCATGAGAGGCATGGTTTGGGAGCAAACCCCCACAGCTGAACCACGTATCGCTCGCCGTCCCCTTTCGCTTCCTCCAGTGGGATATCCCGTCTAAGTTGCCTTTACATCACGCCAAAGCGTTACCCCTCCTCAAGCCGCAGGGGTTGAGATGTCGATCGCTATATCGCCCTCTCTTTGGCGATCGTTTCGCACTCATCCCAACCTCCTGGCCATTTCTTTCGAATCGATCCGTGCGCTTCGTTTCTCCCCTCCCATCCTCCTAGGGGCTTGGGAAGAGGGAATAGCCAAAGCGACCATAAAAGGGGCCCGATGCGAACGCCCGGAGGGAAACCCAGGCCGCTATTCCCCCCTTCTTGCTTAGGTTGTTTTCCTTTTTCGCGAGGCCACCTTTGCGATGGAGCCGGAGGAGGATTTTCGCCGGGTTGAGGAGCCCTGGAAGATGTTCAACTTCGCGTTGAGGCTGTCGAGCTGCCGGGTGGCGGCCTCGACGCTCGTGAGGAGCTGGGCGTAGGTCTTGGAGAAGTCCGCCTCGTGGGTGATATAACGATTCACCAACCGCCGCAGCGGCCGCGGGCCCTTCCCGGCGTAATCGATGGTGAAATCGGTCCAATGGACGGCCATCCCGGCAGCCTCGACGGCGGCCCGGGCGGCGGCGCGGCCGCTAAAAAGGAACTCGAGGCTGGCGGCGTACTTCCGCGGGACGGCCTCCCACACGGCGGGTTTGACGACGCCCTCGTCGAGCATCTGCGCCGGGACGGTGCAGACCTGCCAGAGGACGCCGCCGTCCTCGGTGGCGCGCTTCGCGCGGGAGTTCCGCTCGACGTCGTAGTACCGCCGCTGATATTCGGCGTGCAGCCTCGTCGGGGGGTGGAGGCGGCGGCGATCCTGCAGGCGAAGGTGCAGGTCAATCAGCTGAACCATGGCGGCGGTGTAGGCCTCGGCGGTCTCGCACTCGAGCCGGACTTTCCGCCCGACCATCCGCGCGACGGCGACGTCGGCGTCCGGGATGAGCGGGTCCCCGACCTCCCCCGCCAGGCTCCCGCGCATCGCGAGGACGACGAGG